AACCATAATATTGATGAGTATAAAAGTATTATTTCATGTTTACAGAGGATGCCATTTCCTACTCTGAGCATGGTGGACTATTTTTTAATCTATAGTACATTCACCAATAAAACTGTATGGGCACTATCAAAGGTTTGTAAGGTACAAGATTACATACATCTACTTGCAACCTAACTTCACGTACATTTTTCCTCCCTTCTCCATTTCCTTATCTTGTTGAGAGGATCACAGGAAAGTTATTGTTGCATGACTGACACACCTATCTGTAGACTGAAGGTCAGACTGCACATCTAGGGCAGTTCTCCTCTCATCCATCAAACAACACCCAGCTGACAACCCACCATTTGCAGCCTATCAAGTCCACATCTTAAGCTCCTTCATGGCTCAATTACCCCGAGGATCTTTGCCCACCAGTTAGAATTGATGGTGTACCAGACCTGACAACTCCATCAGTTTATGCTGCCAATTACCCACTACACTCACGCACCTCAGACAAGACGTATGAACATCATGTGTGAGCAGAATGATGCTGGCAGCTAGGGGTCTGGCACCATAGCAGAGGTCATGCTGGAATATAGCAACCTACAGAATAAGTCATGCCTTCTTGTTTATTGGTACACAAGGGGTTAATGTGTAGATGTGTTTGTATACCATTGCTGGCTGGCAATTAGGAACCAATAGGGAAGACTACAGATTTTGCAAAGTTGGCTTCAACAGTGAAGTATTGATCAAACTTAGAAAAACAGGTCACTGTCTGACAGTGAAGTAAGCAATGACCATGTGATATATACCTACATGTACTGAATGTAATTGAGAAGTGGCCAGCCACTATCTCCAATGACCAGGTCCCCCTAGATCAATCTAGATAGAACAGGGTTATACCCTCTAAGCTGCCCCAGCAAAATATATGTCAATGGAAGCCATGAGAAGATAATGCACAGTCCCCTGGACTTTCTTCTCATTGCAATTTCACACTCCTTGAAACAGGACTGGGTGGATTTCTTGTCTTGTTACCTGCATATCAACAACACTGTGAAGGCAACAAAATATAGAATGATCCACTGGTTGTGTATTGTTATTACCAGCATTACATTTCGATGATGAATAATAAAAAATGTTGTGAACTATTTTTTGGTCCAAAATATTTTTAAGTAGAGGAAATTTCAGGTTATATATTAGTGGCAAACCTTCTGCTATCCCTATCCCTAACCTGGCTATACTCACTGTGTCATAGATGTTTTCTGGCCAGACCTCTGCAAAACCATACATGTGCAGTAGCTGCCAGTTGGCCAGCTCACCAAAGGTGTTGAAGACCTCCTCACCCTGGAGCAAAACCAAGTGAAGACAGTCCCTTATGAAGACTAAATTATGTATCATTCATTTCAGAATAAATCTCTAGAAAGTAAGTAAGAAAGATATACTGTACAGTTGAGATGCAGTTTCTTTCAAGCATGTACAGTACAGATCTCGGGATAAGCATCAAGTCCCGCGGGAGATCCCGCGGGAGTTTGCGGGATATCACGCGGGAGTTTGCGGGATACTCCCGCGGGAGTTTGCGGGATCTCCTGCGGGAGTTTGCGGGATCTCCTGCGGGATTTATCGGGATATCCCGTCGGTA